ACTCCACCCTTTCATGCTAAAAAACCTTAAAAATACCCATTTTTAGCCCGAAAGTAAAGATTTCAAGCCTAAAACCTCGAAATTCCTGAAATTTTTAAAAAGCACTGTTTTGGGACCAAAAAACCTCAATTTTTAGGTTCCAAGCTGCTTTTTCATGCTTAAAACTCTGAAGCCAAGAAAACTAAAATTTTAAATTTTCCCGAAAAACACATTTCTGGACCTGGAAACCCCCATTTTTCGGGTTTCAAGCCACAATTTTCAAGTTTTTACGCTGAAAACCATCATTTTTAGCCTGAAAATGACGATTTTAGGCCTAAAAATCCTGAATTTCTCAAATTTTCGAAACATCATCATTTTGGACCTGACAGCCTCAATTTCCAGGTGAAAAATCTTGATTTTTAGGTTCCGAGCCCCATTTTCATGCTCAAAACTATCAAAAATCCCATTTTTAGCCTTAAAATGACGATTTTAGGCCGAAAAGTCAAATTTTCTCAAAAAATTCAAATTTCCCCAAATTTTTCGAATTTTTCAGCGCCAAACCGACGAGGAAGAGTACAGCCGTCTTGTACTCGACGAGGACGAAGTGGAAACCACCGACGCGCCGCCACAAGAGCAAGAAAATCAGAATTTGGCCTAAATTTCCTTTTTTTCTATTTTTTTTCTCAGTTTATGTGCTATATGTTGTGATTTTCATAATTGAAACAGGTCGTCAGGTGCTTCTTGTAAATAAATTCATTCATTTTTTATCGGTTTTCTCGATCAAGACCTTGAAAAATTGAGAAAAAATAGATAAAAATCGAGAAAATTTGAATCGCGAGACGAGAGAGTGTGCGAAATGAGGAGACGCAGAGTGCGCGGGATTAAAGGCGCATCGAATTAGCCGGCAGGGTCCCGCGGCGCGTTGCCGCCAAACACGAAAATTTGAATTTTGACCTGGATTTTTTTGTATTTTCGCGATTTTTTGGCTTTCTAACGTGAACTTTTCGCTTTTTTTTGGTAATTTTTTTGATCTAAATACCAGCCGCCACGATTGGACGCCTAAAATCCGGCAAATCAACCGGTATAACCAAAAACCGCCAAAATTTCGTCGTTTACCTGTGAAATCGTTAACTTTGTAATTTTATGGTTTTTTTTTCAGAATTTTTGAGTTTTTTTTCAAAATTTTCAGAGTTATACTGTACATAATACGACGATGGACAATCAGTTTGACAGTATTATGGACCGGATTCGTGCCCGCCAGACGGAAATATCTGGAATATCAGGCGAAAAGGAGAATGAGGAGCAGCCAGTGAGGGTTACAAAGCAGGAAGGTGGGGGTATATATTCAGCCAGAAAAAGCCAAGAAAAATCGACACTTTCAGAGCAAACGCCCACGAAAGTGTTCGGTTTGTCATCCAGATCCAACGAAGCCCAGCTCCAGAAGACTCCAGAGGTCTCTGTGGAATTCCGAGTCTCAGAGACCGCTGAAACCATCCAAAACAGCCAAAACACCTCAAAAAAGGCATCAAGATTCTCAATGTTGGCTCAGGAGATCGAGAATTTCGAGTATGACTACGAAAGTCCGTATAATCGGCCGAAGGAGGCGTTCATGAAGGGCCGGTCGCCGAGAATGTCGATTGGAGAGACACGACCCGCGGTTTTGTGCACACCGGCTGGCCATGCCGCTTCAAAAAGTCCAAATGTGGCCGTTTCGTCAAAATCTGCACCGGAAATTGCGAAAAATGGGTTAGAGTCGCTTTTTGTTGCTTGAAAAATTGCTTTTTGGGACTTTTAAACTCGATTTTACGAAACTTCGACGATATATTCGAATTGGGCTTGAAAAATGCTTTACAATGAGCCGAAACACGCCCATATTCCGTCAAAATTGGCACATTTTGGGTCCCACCACGAAAACTACAGTAACCCGAAAATTGCTCAGAATCTGGTCGAGTTTGGGCTCATTTTGAAGCTCTAAACGAGTTGAGTAAGAATAGATTAGTTTTAAATCTAGAAATTTGAAAATAAAAAAGTTATGAGCAATTTAGGGTTTTTCTGAAAATCTCGGAAAATCCTTAAATGCTCATAACTCGCTTATTTTTCAGAATTTCGATGTCTAACCAAGATATTCTTTTTCGGCTCGCTGAGAGATTCAAAATGAGCCTAAGCACGACTAGTTTCCCTCGAAGATGGGTCCCACCACGAAAACTACAGTAACCCAACATCTGCTCAGAATCAAGCCGTGATTGGGCTCATTTTGAAGCACTAAATGAGCTGAGCAAAGTAATCAAGGTTTGATTTCGAAATTCCAGAGAATAAACAAAATATGATCAATTTAAACTTTCTCTGAAAATCTGTGAGTGCGCATAACTCGCTCAATTTCCAAAATTTCGGCATCATACCTATAAATTCTTGCTCCACTCGTCAAGAACTTCAAAATGAGTCTAAACACGCCCATATTCCGTCAAAATAAACACATTTTGGGTCCCACCACGAAAACTACAGTAACCCAGAAATTGCTCAGAATCTAGTCGTGTTTAGGCTCATTTTGAAGCTCTTGACTAGTTGGGAAAGGACGATTAGGTTTTATGGCTGAATTTCAGAAAATAAGCCAAATATGAGCAATTTCAAATTTTCTGAAAATCTCAAAAAATCTGGAATTGCTAATAACTTGCTAATTTCCTAATATTTTGAGTGAAATCCTCTATATCATTGCTCAGCTCATCAAGAGCTACAAAATGAGCCTAAACACGCCTATTTTTTTCTCAAATTCAACGAAAATCGGATCCCACCACGAAAACTACAGTACCCCAAAAATTGCTCAGAATCTAGTCGAGTTTAGGCTCATTTTAAAGCTCTAAATGAGCTGAGCAATGATACATAGGTTTTATATCTGAAAAACTGAAAATAAATGATTTATGAGCATTTTTGCAGACCCGAAATCGCCCTTGGCCGTTCGGATTTCGAAGCTCGCCGTATAAAATTCGCGCAGCCCATGGTGAATGTGAATTATCTGCCCAACGAGTCCTCGATTTTCTCCGGTGGCTCATCCGTAAATGATATGTCTACAGTACTCGGTGGTTCTGCCGAAATGATGAACGTGACGACGTCTTCTTTGAGTTGTGGAGAGTTATCAATGAATCAGCATATCACCCACGAGAACACCATTATCAATGCGCAGTCTTGTGATAATCGAGAGGCGATTCTGAAGGAGAAGGAGCACCAAATCGCTACTTCAATCAATATCTCGACCGATGAGTATGGAGCCCACACTTTTATGAGGAAGGTAGGAGTATATTCTTCTTTCTAGACTCATCGAGAGCTTCAAAATGAGCCCAAACACGCCTATTTTCCCTCGAATCGGGGTCCCACCACGAAAACTACAGTAATCCAAAAAATGTTTAGAATCTAGCCGAGTTTGGGCTCATTTTGAAGCTCTCGACAAGCTGAGTAACAATATGAAAGTTTTATGGAGAAATTTCGAAAAATAAGCGAGTTATGAGCACTTTTAGGTTTTCGGATACTGTAAATTGCCCGTATTTCGCTTATCTTACGAAAATTTAAAGTAAATCTTATATATTTTTTCTCAGCTCGTTTAGAGCTTCAAAATGAGCCCGAACATGACTAATTTCCGAGAAATTTTTGGGTTACTGTAGTTTTCGTGGTGGGACACAAACTTGAGGGAATCTAGGCGTGTTTGGGCTCATTTTGAAGCTCAAGTTGTGTCAAAATCGATCCTAGCTTTGAGTTTTCGATATCAGCTTGTTAAAACCTTCAAAATGCGCCTGGATTACTGTAGAAAATTTTCAAAAAATGAGCAATCTCCACCACTATGCTTTTTGTTGCTACCACCACTCACTCCCACCTAATTTTCTTATTTTCAACACTAATATTACTGTAGAAGGTGGCACCAAACGCTCCTTCTACTGCTCCAACTGTCGCCACGTCTTCAACGTCAACCACGACAACGTCATCTGGAGCCCACCCACCACTGAAACCCGCAACATCGATATTCCAACGACCCGCTGACATTATGTCGCTCGTCTCATCGCCAAAACCGTACTCGAAAGACATCGGACGGAGCATGTTTTCGCCTGTTCACTTTGTGAGTGTGTTGTAGTAATAAAAGCATAAAATTGGGCTGAAATTCACGATTTTTGAGCTAAAAATGGTGGAAATTGACTCGGAAATGACTAAAAATGACCTGGTTAGCACGATTTTCAATCTAGAATTGACCTTAAAATGGCCACAATGGGCTCAGGATGAACTGAAACGAACTATAAGTGATCTGAAAATTACGATTTTTGAGCATTCTGGCCTAGCTGGAGGTTTCTGGGCCATCCAGGACTCGCAATAGCTCTTCTGGAAGCTTCTCGGCTGCCAGGATCCATCTGGAGAGCTATTTTGGGTCCTAGATGGCCTAGAAACCTCCAACAGCATGTGGTGGCCTAACTAGAGGTTTCTAGGCCACCAAATTTACTGTGGGCGAGGTCAGATGGCCTAGAAACCTCCAGCCAGGCCATAGAGGCTTCCAGATGACCTAGTTTCCTTTCTAGGCTACCTATAATGGCCTAAAAACTTCTAACTGCCCAATGAACAACTGCTAATTGCCCAATTAACGCTTCTAACAATTTGCAGACCCCCAAAAGTACGTCATCTCCAAAAGCGCTCGCCTCTACACTCCACACGGACGCTCCTCCAAACCTGTCACCATCAAAAACGGCGGCCCTGCAGAAATCGGTTGCCAAGACGAGACGACTGGAATTTGAGGAGAAATTCAGAACCAATTGCACTGTTACTAACGATGTATGTGTGTTTTAGATGGCCTAGAAACCTCCAGGAGCGATATTTTGAGTCCTGGATGGCCTAGAAACCTCTAGCTAGGTTACTAGAGGCTCTAGATGGCCTAGATTCCTTCTTGAAGGTGTCTAGGCCATCAGAAGGTTTTCTAGTGACTTCAGAAGGCCTAGAAGCTTACAGAAGAGCTATTTTGAGTCCTGGCAAGCCTAGAACCCTCTAGCTAGGCCATACACTGCTATGTTCCTAGATGGCCTAGCTTCCTTCCCGAATGTTTCTAGGTCACGGATAACGTTATAGATGGCCTAGAAATCTAGTTTCACGTCTTGTATAACTTAGAAACATTCTAATAGATCTCCTGGCCTAATTTTGAATTTCCAGGTCAAAAATTACGATCTAGGGCCAGTTTTGGCAGTTAGCCCTTTCAGCTCTTAAAATGACTTGGAATTTGAATATTTTTCCTTCCAGAATGCTCCAATCCCAAATCCTCGCCACGTGGCACCAACGACTACAATTCAGAATACGCCTCACTATCACGTCGCACCGCAACAGAAGAGGAATCTGTTCGGAGTACAGAACCCACAGGCTACTGTAGCTACCGTAGCCACCGCTCCAATCCCGGTACAAACTCAATGGAGAGGTCAGGCGAACACGCCGGTCGTTCAGGGAGCCCGCGCCGACGAGAAGACGGCTGGAAGCGATCTGAAAGGGGCGGGGCTTGGAAAACTGAAGAATCTGAAATCGAGATGGGAATTCTCATCGGCCACAGGGACGCCGATACATCCAGATGCCACGGAGGACTCGTTGATTGCCACGGCGATGAAGATGAAGGAGACGGCGATTCCGGCGAGGGTAAGGGGGCGGGGCTTATTAGAAACGTTTTTAGCTTGAAACGGTCGAAAACTGACTGAAAACGAGCTCTGTAGTTTTCGGAGAAAATGGGCTTTAAAATTGGATTTTTCAGATTGGCCACCGTTCGATTTCCAGCCGAAAAGGGCCATCAGCCTCGTCTATCCACTCTCGGAACGCGTCGGAACCCTTCAACGAGGCTCCAGAAGCTCCAGAAGAGTATGACGACGTCTTTGAAGGAGAAGACGATGATTCTGGAGAACTAGAAGACGTGGCGAACGCTGGAGACGTCCAAGACACTTCTAGATTCATCGACCACGCCTTCGGATTCATTGAAGGCACAGAGACGCCGAGTCCGTTCAGAGAGACACCTCTGGCTGCTCGTGAGGCTTCCTTGTCCCCAAAGAAACGAATGGAAGAGGTGATTGTTGAGGAGGATGACTCCCAGGAAGAATACATTGAGGAGGAAGGATCAGAGGAGGAGCCAGAAGAAGACGTCACAGAGATTCAGAATACGATCCATCAGGAGGAGGAGCCTGTCTACCGTGCCAACAACTCCCAGCTGGTCCACTCTGTATCGATGTATCGCCGGAAGCAAAGGGAGAAGAACGCGACGCCAGCCCAACCACTCTCCTCGATCTCTCCATCGGCGCCAGTGGCTTCGTTGACGTCTCCGCAGAAGCTTCGACAGATGACAGGATCCTCGGCGACGCCTGGAAAGATTTTCGAATCGGAGAACGAGACCATCAAACGACTCACAGAAGCGATTGTGATTGAGAAGAAGCTGGTGTCCCAATCGGAACGAGCACTTGCCCGAGCAAGACACGAGCCGAGTTTCCGGGGATCCAGAGAGGAATTCGAGGCGCAACGGGCCTATTTGGTGCATATGGAAAAGTTGAGAGCCATGCAGAACGAGTTGCAGAGAGTGCAGAGGGAGGGAGCGAGAATGTGAGTGATCTACAGTAATCCTAGATTGTTCAAATGTATTTTGAAATAGCCCAAAGAGCTACAGTAAGCCTACGGCCTTTAGGCTAGGCTAGCAAAGTTAAATTGCCACAATCCTCTTGTTAGGCCATATACACCAAGGCTCGAAAATCACGAATTTTAGTGTCATTTTTAGGTTATTTCAGGTGATTCTGAGCGGATTTTGGCTAATTTAGGGTGTCATTTTTAGCTCTAAAATCGTGATTTTAGCTAGTTTTACGCTCTCTAGCGACTCCAGAAGAGTTATTTTGAGCTCTGGATGGCCTAGTAACCTCTAGCTAGGCCATAACAGTCTCCTAGATCTCAAAGGTTCTAGATAACCGTATGTTTGGGAAACTACAGTACCCCAAATGTTTCCAGAATCGATGGCCCCCGCGGAACGATCATCATCAATGGGCTCACTGTGAGCATAGACTCTGCCTACGTCGCCGCCCATATTGCATCCAAAAAATCGGAAGAAGTCTTCTATTTCCTCGCCGTCCTTCGCTACGCCGACCAGGTCGACGTCTCCAAGCTAGTCACTTCGGATAGTGGACTCAATCGACAGGCGTCTATCGATTTCCCGGTCCCTCTGAAACTATCGAAAATCCCGTCGGATTTCCGTGCGACACTCGAAATCTATGGGCAACGATCGGTGAGAGAATCGACGACCCACGAGGATAAGTTCAAGTTGAAGGGGACGACGTTGAAGGCCAAGGTACGGTAGCTGAAGGTTTTTAATTGACCGTGCAGCTCTGTTGTTGATGACCCCTCTAACTCTCAAAGTTTGAGCTCAATTGCCTCGGTTCCTATCAGAGATATCAATAATCTGTTAACTGATAAAATATTGCTGATAAGATGAGCAATTTTTTATTAGTTAACAGCTGTTTGATATCTTTTATGGAAGCTGAGATATACAGGCTCAAGGAAGGGCTACTCAGTCTGTCTGATAAATCTCAATTATCTCGGATCTTGTGAAAGATGTCAAAAAACTGTAAACTGATAAAATATTGCTCATCTTATGGCGCACATTTTATCAGTTGACAGATTTTTTACATTTTATCAGAGGAGCCGAGATAAATGAGCTCAAACTTTGAGCCCATATATTTCGGTTCCTGTGAAATGGAGCTCTGTATTTTGTCTGTCTGTGTGTCTGTCCTGTCCACTCTGAACTAACCATCACAGAACGCCGACAATTGGTGTTATTATGTTGATCGGAGTGAGCGTGAGACTCGTCTAGCTGCAGCCGATGCCGAACAACGACGCATTCGAAAATTGGGACTTCCGTGTCGTTTGTGGAGAAAGTTGCATGTATGTCTGTGATACTAACCGCATGTTTTTGTGTTTATAATGTTGAAAATCGGTATTTCTGGCCTAGAAACACCCTAGGAGACTTTTGTGGTCTAGCTAGAGGTTTCTAGGTCATCCAGTACTCGAAATCGCCTTCCTGAAAGTCTCTAGGCCACCAGAGTGTTACTATGGCCTAGAAACATCCGGAAAGCAAGCTAGGGCAACTGGGAGCTTCCATGACTTAGCCAGAGGTTTCTAGGCCACCAGGATCCTTCTGGATCTCTTGGAGACACTTCTGATGACCTAGAAATCTTCAACGAGGCTCTGTAGCCTAACTGGGGGTTTCTAGGCCACCAGAGTCTCGCCATGGCCTAGAGAACTTCTGGGAAGGAAGCTATGCTATCTGGAAGCTCCTATGGCCTATCTGGAGGTTTCTAGGTCCCCTTGGAGTTTCTAGAAAACACTTCTGATAACCTAGAAACCTCCACAAGCCTCTAATGGCCTAGCTGAAGGTTTCTAGGCCACGCGGACCTTTTTGCATGGTATACTTGTGTCTCCTAGTGATATCTTTTAACTACAGCAACCCCCTCTCCCTTGATTCCAGACTCGTAATCCATTCTCATCTGGTGGAAGTACCTCCTCATCTGGAAGTCAAAGTCTATTCGGATCCACAACGCTGAGCAATCAAACGATGCCAACTGGATACGGTGGCCAATCGATAATCACTGATTTCCACCTCCTCGGATCATTCCAATTCGATATCAGCTGCCCGGGCAAACACCGTTATCAACTGGACCACGTCGTTCATCCTTTGGCTGGAAAGGTACAAATGAAAGTGAAGAAACAGGCGGACGACGGGGCGGATATTCTCTATCGGGGATTCCTTTCGATGTACCAACGAACGAATGAGGGATTGGGATCGTGGACTCGGTATTGGTGCGTTCTGGAGGACGGGGAGATGAAGTTCTGGAGACAACCGGAGGATGAGGGATCCAAGGTGAGCAATAAGCTACAGTAGTCCTGAAAAATAGGGAGTTTGAGACCTTCAAAATAAGCTCCAAAAAAACTACAGTAATCCTAAAAGAGCTTCAAAATGACCTAAAATCGTTTAGACTTCGAAATGAGCTCTAGCACTACAGTAATCCTAAAACTAGACTTTCTCTGAAATGGGCTCATCCAGAGCTTTAAAATGAGCCCAAACACGCCTAGGCTCCGCCAACTATGAGCGGACCATGCCATGCGCCTTTAAGGATTACCGTAACCCGATTAGGTGCTTTTCATATTCTCTAAAAATTGGTTTTTCGAGTTTGGCAAGTTGACAGCTTCAAAATGAGCCTAGACTCCGCCCACGTCGAGGGGACCATGCGCCTTTAAACTCGAAATTTCAAAATGGGCGGAGCCTAGTCGTGTTTGGGCTCATTTTGAAGCTCGCGAAGAGAGTTAGATTTGGATCTAAAACTCGTAATTTCAAAAAAAAATCAAAATTGCGCGTTTCAGATGACGTCAGAATTCGAAGTTCTTAAAACGCCTGTAATTCGGGTCCAAACGGACCAAAACTCTTGAAAATTATACTATTCGATAGGAAATTTGAAGCAGATGATGATGATATCTTGAATTTCCGAGAAATTCGAATTCTGACGTCTTCTGAACCTCTATGCGCCTTTAAATTCGAAATTTCAAGTCTAAAGGAGCATGCTCGTGTTTGGGCTCATTTTGAAGCTCGAAAAACCATAAGTTCGAATTTTATAAAATTATTGAGTTCCAGATAAATCTGGCAGAGTTACGGTAGTGTTGCGCCTTTAAAGTGGACCCCATAAATTAGCTCAAACTACCGTAGACCTTTCACAGTGAAAATGGGCGGAGCCTAGCCGAGTTCGGGCTCATTTAAAAGCTCTTCTGAAGACGAATTCGAATTATCTCGAGCTCTAACTTGAACATCCAATATTGAGCTTAATTTCTCACTTTTTTTCCAGGGCTACCTGGTACTAATGGATCTATCGACGTGCTGCCGTTCGGAAGGAGCCTCAACAGTCCAAGACATCTGCCCCTTCCCCAACAGCTTCCATATCGACGTTTGGGCGCCAAAAGACGATCGAGACGAGCCACGTGGCAACGGAAACGGAATTATGCAGTTGAGAGTGATGTTGGCTGCTGATACGACGCAAGACCTTCAGAAGTGGTTATCAGTTATCAATACGACGTCCCGACAGCTGTGTACATGGAGAAATCCCATCCAATTGTAATTTGGCCACCCTTTTTCGGCTTTTTTCTCAAATTTTCACTTCTCTAATGCTCTTGTTTTAAACCCCTGTAAACTCTCCCAATTATTGTTTAATCCTATAAAAAATTCAAATTCCCGCCCGCTTTTTACTCTCGCTGTCATCAAATTATTAGCCTCTCTTGTGTGTCCCCCCCCCCCTTGTCTTCTACTATCCATCTCGATTGTTTTTCCTTTTCTTTTGTGAATGAATAAATTTGGGGAGTAATATAAGAATTGAACGATTGGACTTTGCTCTTTGAGAGCTTCAAAACAAGCCCAAACCCGACGAAACACTGCAAGGATTACGGTAGTTTGAGCTTGGTTTTTTGGCTCCAGTTCAAAGGCGCAGCAACTACTACCGTAACTCTTCCAGATTTTATTGAAACTCAAAAATTCACAACAAATTCGAATTTATGGTTTTTAGAGCTTCAAAACGAGTATAAACACGACCACGTTCCTTTAAATTTAAAATTTGGGGCTTTAAAGGCGCATAGGGGTCCCAAGTTTCAAATTTGAAGAAAGTGGGTCATGATTATACTCATTGTGAAGCTATGGAAGAGCTGAATTCAAATAAGCGACTTTCCATTCAAGAAACTCAAAATTACGTGTTTTAGAAGACGTTAGATTTCGAGTTTTTGAGATTCTTCGAACAGCTCTTACTTGAAACGGGTGTAACCTGGGTACCAATGGACCAAATTTTTAATGAGTCATACCATTTGATAGGAAATTCAAAGCAGATTATGTTGATGTTTTGAATTTTCGAAAAATTCCTATTTTGAGGTGCACTGGAGCGTATTTACCACAACGGGAACCTAGATATCAATTTAATTGCTTGTAACTTTGGTCCTTATGGACCAAAAATTTTGAAAGTTATACCATTCGATAGGAAATTTAAAGCAGATTAAGCTGATTTTTGAATTTTTGAGAAAAGTGCATTTTGAAGTGCACTGGTGCGCATTTATCCTGAGCGAATTAACGAAATTTTCGAATTCTGACGTCTTCTGAAGCGCAATAATGTTTCTTTGCACTAAAAGTTCCATATTCAAACTTAACTTTTTGAGAGCTTCAAAATGAGTATAATCACGACCTACTTTCCTTGAATTTGATTTTTCAAGACCCCTATGCGCCTTTAAAGTCGAATTTCGCGTTTAAAGGAACATAGTCGTGTTTAGGCTCATTTGAAAGCTCTAAAAACGACGAATTCAGGTTTATTGGAATTTTTGAGTTTGAACAAGGGTTACGGTAGTTGCGCCTTTAGTAATCCATTAAGTTTTGCTCCAAATTAGGCTAGCGGAATAGAAACGCCTGTAACTCTGGTCCCTATGGACCAAAAGTTTTGAAAATTATACCATTCGATAGGAAATTTGAAGCAGACTTGTTATAATTTTGAATTTTCAAAAAATTTACATTTTGAGGTGCACTGGAGCGCATTTACCATAACGGAACCTAGATATCAGTTTAATTGCCTGTAACTTTGGTCCCCATGGACCAAAACTTTTGAAAGTTATACAATTCGATAGGAAATTTGAAACAAAATCTGATGATTTTTTAAAGTTTTAAAAAACTTCGATCTTGACCGAGTTTATAGCGCCGAAACCATTAAAAATCCAGGTTTTTCTCTGCGTCTCTCTCTCTCTCTTTTGCTGTACTGTGTAGCTTATCATAACAAAAGCCGTATCCTTTTTCTCTGTTCCTCTCTTTGTATGTTTTATTCCTGGTAACTATACAATACACCCAAATTTCCATATTTTTTGTCGAGTTGGCTTTTTTGTATGTTTCCTCTCTGAAGCTACGTATACCTATCACATTGATACCTTGGTTTTTTGGCTTTTTGGCACGATGAGGATCGTTTTTATAGTTGGTTTTGGTGAGTTCCTGAATCCCTATGTCCCTGATTTTCTACCGTTCTTCCCAAGAGGATGGCCGTGACTAATACTTGGTTCAAAATGGTGATTTTTGCTCGAATCTGAAGGTATACTGTAGAAATTCGCAAGATCAACAAACTACCATTCAATTAATCTATTTCGAAACGCCAAGTCAAAACAGAGGCCGCCGAAGAGCCAATGGATGTTTTACGGTCCCTGACTCACTATCAGTACTTCAATAGAAATGAATTAAATACTACTGTTTAGATCTTGTTGAGCTCTACATTTCATTTTTTGATTCAACTTGCAGTTCCAAGTTTGAACCAAGTTATGCGTCTGATAAGCATACATTCGTAACCTCATAACTTGCACTATTTCAGCATTACTGCTGAATGCCTTAGCTCAAGCTCAGAGTCAAGCTCCAGCCCAAACGCCTCCAGTTGTCCAGCAGCCACCTCAGCAAGCCGTACCAACACAACCCAAACCAGCTACGCAGCCAGCTCAACCTGCCCAGAAGCCAATCCATGCAGCTGTTCCAGTTCAGCAAGCCAAGCCTGCACCAGCTCAAGTACCTCCAGTTGCCCAGCAAGCTGCTCAACAAGCCAATCAACAGAAGCCAGCAGCTACGCAGACATCCCAGGCTCCCCCTGTCCAGCAAGCCCCTCAACAAGCCAAGCCAGCAGCTCAGCCTGTCCAGCAGCAAGCTCAGCCTATTTCAGTCCAACAAGGTAAAGCTCAGCAAGCTGCTCAAACAGTCAAATCAGCTACGCAGCCAGCTCCAGTCCAACAGGCTCCTCCTACTCAGCAAGCTGCTCAACAAGCCAAACCAGCAGCTCAACCTGTCCAACAGCACGTAAGTGCTCAGCCTGTCCCAGTTCAACAAGCCCAGCAAGCTTCACCTGCTCAACAAGCTGATCAGCAGGCCAAACCTATTCCTGCTCAACCTGCTCAAGGTCAACAAGCGAAACCAGCTCCAGCTCAGCCAGCTGTCCAACCGGTACAACAGGCGAAACCAGTCTCAAATGCTCAGCAGGCCAAACCTATTCCTGCTCAACCTACTCAAGCTCAACAAGCGAAACCAGCTCCAGCTCAGCCAGCTGTCCAACCGGTACAACAGGCGAAACCAGTCTCAAATGCTCAACAGGCGACATCTGCTCCTGCCTCAGCTGCAGCTCAAGTCCAGAAGCCAGCTCAGCCTATTCCGCAAGCTGCACAAGTCAAACCAGCAGTTCAGCCAGCTCCAGTTCAGCTAGTTCAAACTCCGCCTGCCCAAGCTCCCGCTCCAGCTCCAGCGGCTCCTGCTCCAGCAAAGCCTCAAGCACCTGCTCCAGCTGCAGCTAAGCCAGTTCAGCAGTCACAAGCGGTTCCGGCAGTTAGTCCTCAACCTCAGGCAGCAGCGAAGTCAGCTCAAGCTCCTGCTCAGCAGGTCAAACCAGCAGATCAGCCATCTCCAGCTCAACAAGCTCAGACTCAAGTATCTCAACCAGTTCAACCAGCTAAGCCAGCTCAAGCTAATCCAGCTCAAGCTCAGCAAGCCAAACCAGCTCAGGCTCAAGCCACCCAGCCAGCTCAGCCAATCCAGCAGCAACCAGCTACGCCAGCTCAACCGAAACCAGAGGTTCCTGCTCAAACTAAAAAGCCAGCACAGCCAGCAGCTCAACAAGCGTCAGCTACTCAGACTCCACAAACTCAGCCAGCCCGTCACCAAGATCCTCAGCAGCACAGCAAGCAACCAAAAGATCCAAAGGTACAGTACCCCCTAATTTTTGATATCAGATCTTTATCCTAGCAGAAACGCACTACGACGTCCCGTCCCGTAAGCTCAAAAAAGAGAAATGAGCGACCGAAACGAGAAGCCACTCCGGTGCCGAAAGCAGTGGAAGAGTAAGTTTGAGGCATACTGTAGATGATAGGAAATTTTAAGGGCTTCAAAATGAGTATAATTTTGGCTAGGGTTGTGTGCCTTTAAAGGTGGGGGGACAGGAGATTTTTCGTAGTTTTTTTGTAGCTAGAGTATGCATTCTACCGTGACGGTGTACAACGCTTAACGCCACTCTGCGTACAGCTGTCGTCCTCGTCTTTATGTATGCAATCGGGCGTGCGCTTTCTCTTTGCCCGCGTGGCTCAGTCGGTAGCGGCGCCGCACCCTCAATCCTCGCCTTCACAAGTTCAACTCCTCGAGGGGCATCTTTGAACGAAATTTCGAGAACATTATTTTTTTCATGTCCCCCCACCTTTAAGGATACCGTAGCCCACCTTAACCAATTCTGGCGTCAAAAAGAACGGCAACTTTGAGCCGATTTATCTCGGTTACTGTAAGAGATATCAATAAGTGGTCAACTGATAAAATGTTTATCATATTATAAGTAATATTTTATTAATTAATTTTTTTGTGGTATCTTTAACAGGAAGTGAGATACATAGGCTTAAAGTTAAGAGGTCGGCATCCAAGCTCAAGGGTAAGCGCCGACCTCTTTAAGGCAATTTATCTCGGTTGCCATAAGAGATATCAAAAAATTATCAACTAATGAAATGTTTATCATATTATCATTAATACTTTATCAGTTGATCATTTTTTGATATCTTCTACAGTAACCGAGATATATAGGCTCAAAAATCTAAAATAATTCCAGATCCCCATCTCTTCTCGCCTTCGTCTCCACCCTCTCTGCAAATGTGATTTTTTCGGCATCCTGTGTTTTTTTCATTTTCCTCGGATGCTGTATTTTAAGATGTTTCAGACGGGACCCATCGGATGATAAATTGAAAATGTTGTAATCATTGTTTTTTTTTGAATTTGGCGCCCAATAGAGTTGTCAATGGGGGCGCGATTGCTTTTAGGCATTCTATTTTTCTATTTGTTGCAATTTTTCTCTTTTCTCGGTATGAAATTTTTTTTTTTGGTTTTTGTGTCCCAGATTTTCTTATCTCCGAAAAAATGTTCTCTGTGCGAGAGACGCAGAGAAAATGATCTTCTCGAAAAAAGAGAAAAGTTCCGAGAAGGACGAATGACATAAACAAGTAAAACAAGGGCGGTTTCGGAAGTAGTAGTTGAGGGATTACTGTAGTTTTCTGATTTTTGATCTAATTTCGGTTATTTGGAGAGGGAAAATGGGATTTGATTTATCCAATCAAAAGGAAGGGAAAAAGGGGTGCTAAAATCCCAAATTTTGGACTAAAAATCATAATTTTAGGCTAGAAAGAACCAATTTTAAGATCCTTAACACTAATTTTGAGACTTACAACATCAATTATAACGTAAAATATGGGGATTCTTAGCTCTTATTTTGAACCCAAAAATTGCCTAATTTGGCAGTTTTTGCTGTCTAAAAATCGCAATTTTTGCCCACAAAAAGGACAGACTTCAAATCCAAAAATCCATGTTTTTTGGGCATAAAAAGTTGTAAAAGCTATTTTTTATTGAGAAAAATCAGAAAAAAGGATAAATTGTTGTCCGGCGGTACGGTAGGTACTTTTTACGATGCCAAAGTTCTTTGTGATAGATGGCAGATGCTGTTGATTTATTAATTACCCCCACAGTTCAGTGTCATTTGTTACAGTAATCCCGATTTGAATCGAGTTTTAGGCACTTTGAAGACTTACAGTAGAGCTAACTAGGTTACAATTAGAACTTTTATTTACAGTAGTCCCTTCTAACTGGACGAGGAAGTTTAATTGGGTTCGAATTTGGCGCCAAAAATAAGGCGAACTTCAAGCCCATATATCTCGGTTACGGTAAAAGATATCAACATTTAGTCAACTGATAAAACATTTATCATAATATCAGTAACATTTTATTAGTTAACCACTTTAAGGTATCTCTTACAGTACCATAGATAAATTGGCTTAAAGTTAAGTCCACTGGCTGAGCAACGCAGTCGGCTGCCGACCTCTAAACGTTAAGCCCATTTATCGCAATTCCTCTAAAAGATATCAAAAAACTGTCAACTGATAAAACGTTTGTTATAAAATGAGCAATATTTCATTAGTTAACAACTTTTTGATACCTCTTACAGTAACCGAAATAAATTGACTCAATGTTAACCGCTGGCTGAGCAATGCCGGTCGGCTGCCAATCTCTCAACTTTATGCCAAGATATTTCGGTTACAGTACAAGATATCAAATGGTAGTCAACTGATAAAATGTTTACCATTTCATCAGAAATGTTTTATTAGTTGACCAATTTTTGATATCTCTTACAGTAACTGAGATAAATCGACTCAAAGTTAACCGCCGGCTGAGCGTCCGCTACCGACTCTGAACTTCAAGCTCACATATCTCGGTTACTGTAAAAGATAAAAAAAAGGTAAAATTGATAAAATGTTTATCATAATCTTAGTAACATTTTATCAGTTGACGAATTTTTGATATCTTTCACAGTAACCGAGATATATAGGTAACGCGGTTGTACTGTAGCTAATACAAAATTTCGAACAAAAAGTATCATACATAGACTAGACAAAAGAAAAATAAGCGATTTTTGGATTACAAGGCAGCATGAGATTCACGGAAGTGATATGGATTTCCGAAAAGAGAAACAAGAAGAGAGAGAGAGAGACAAATCGCATAAATAATAAAATGACATGTTGATGTTGATTAACGATACAAGACGGTTATTTATGTATATTCCATACCGAGCTGATAACAAATTCATTCTTTTTTCTTTTTGCAACAATTTTAAACCGGTGACAATTCTAGGGACTACTGTAGCTCGTCAAAACATTGCTGCAGGGCTCCAAAGTGCTACTGGTTCGGGGGGCTCTGTCACATAGAATTTTGGGGTGTCGTAAAAGATCATGTACCTACAGTACTCGGGACAAAAATGTATCCTTTCTTTAATTTTTGGAAAAATCCTAAATAGTCAAGTTTTACAGATTAAATCCCGCGTTCCTTTTCCAAATTCCCAAGTAGGTAAAAAAAAAAAGATAAAACACTACAGTAATCCACAAACTACTTATTGCCCTCAGTTTTCTTGTTTTTTCCAATGTTTTCATCTTTTTTCAAAGTTCTAACGTTTCCTTTTTGTCCGATTACCGTTAAATAGCAGAGAAGGTGAAATTAGTGCGGCAGATTTTGGTACTGTAACTAGCTTCAGAATCAGAATCTTGCCAAGATATTTATATATTCTTATAGCTGATGCTTCAAGGATCATTTTGGTATAATAATGATTATGAAACCCCTACATTCCTAGATAAACCTTGCCATCAAACTTTTTGTAGAACCTTCAAGTTCCTAGCTAGAGACATGGCTTATGTTTAGTACTGTAGCTAGCTTCAAAGTTAGATTCTTGCAAAGTTAATTATATATTCTTGTAGTTCAAATTATAAGAAACATTTTGATATAGAAACCATAATATTGAATAATGTCTGCAAAGATTCCTCGAGTTATATCATGACAAGCTTTAGCTTTATAAGTATGTGTAGCATTTGATACTGTAACTAGCTTCAAAATTGAAACCTTCTAAAGATAGTTATATGTTCTTGTAGCTGAGATTATAATAATCATTTTGATATAAAAAGTTATTAACCTCGACCGCCGCGGCCCAAGGCCTTGCAGCTCCTGTTTTTGTAATGTTAGCGCATGGATATGGCCTATGTTTTGCCCTGTAACTAGCTTCAAAGTTGGAATCTGTAAACATTGATTACATATTCTTGTAGCAGAAATTCTAAGAAAGATTTTGGTATAAAACATGAGCCTAGATCGCGGTCTCCCGCCGTAGCTTACATCTCAAATTTTCTAGCCCGAATTTTCCATTCAAGACAAAAGTGCATGGTTCAGAAACCATCAGCTACCGTATACCGATTTCTCATTATCTATTTTTTGAATAAAAGACCTTGGTAGATGATTTGAAAACATGGTGGTTGGGGGGGGGGGGGGGGGACGATTATACCCCCAGCAGCCAAACAGTTTGACCTCCAAAAAAATAAAAATTTCTTATTTTTCACGGAAATTATATATCTTGATGAAGAATCGCGTCCTTTTTTCGCAACACACACATACATACACAGGCAACATCTTCTTCTTTTTTTTGCGATTTTTTGGGTTTGGGGGTTTGCGATACGAAAAAAAAAGAAACAGGTCAAAAATCGGAATTTTTAGGCATGAAATAGCAGTTTTTGGAGCTGAAAATTGAGATTTTTAAGTTCAGATTTTTCCAGATTTTACGATTTTCAGCACTGGAATTTTTTGGAATTTCAGGCAATACCGGACCAATTACAGATTTCTGAAAAAAAAAAATCAAAATCTGAAAATTTTGGAAATCTGGAAAATTTCGCAAAAAATCTGCACTAAATCTGAAAATAGCAAAAAAAACATCTGAAAATCTGAAAATCTTTAAAAATCAGGAAAATTCTGAAAAAATCGGAATTTGTGGAAACCTGAAAATCTGGAAAAATCTGACCTAAATATCTGAAATTTCAGGCATTTTTTGTCCGATTTCTACTGTTATCCTACATATCAAGCCCAATGGGATTACTGTACTTAGAAGCTCCGCCCCTTTTTCTTATTTTGTTTACTAGTTAGTTTCTCAGGCTCCGCCCACTTGTCTTATCTGTATAAATGAGATTTGATCTTGCTTTATTCAATGGGAATGTGTGTTATTTTGTTGTGTGGGGGCAAGATGTTTTGAAATATCAAAAAAAAAAAAAATAAAATTGAAATTGAATTTCCTATTTTATGATATTAATTATACAAAAATTGAATTACTTTAAGCCGAGTTATGGCAATTTTACTCTCAGAATACGATTGTGTCAGTAATTGCGCTCTAGCAAATCTCAAAACTGTAGTTTTCAAAAATTTAAAGTACAAAAATGATTAACTTAAAATTTGCGTTTTAATGATGTATTGTTATTGAAAATTGATTAAACTTGATATGAGATATGCACTCTTCAAAAAAATAGAAAATTTCGAAAAAAAATTTTTTTTCCAAAAATGTTTCCAAATGTGTTCCTAACCTAATTTTCATTGTACTTATCAATTTTTCAACTTATTTTTGTTCATTTTCACCTCTAAACCGGCTAATTTTCCAGGGGAATGTCCGATGACGAAACCATGTCTTCAGAACTCCCAGATCCTCCGCCGTTTAAACAGATCGACCAGTGGTTGTCAACCATCCGGGTTCATGAGTGTACAAAGGCTTTTGCATTACTTGAAGCGGTAAGAAATTTATAATTTTTAAAATTTTTTTAAAATTTCGAATCGTTTGGTACTAAAATCAAGCTTGACCGTGAGGGGAGATATTATAGAATTTTAATCATTGGTTTTGAAAGCCTTGCGGCCGCGGCCCACCGTAACCTACAACATTGATTTTTATACGAAAATGATTCTCAAAATTTGAGCTACAGGAGTCTATAAAGTTTTTAGCTAGATTCCAATTTTGAAGTTAGTTACAGTGCAAAACATAAAGCATGTCTTTCGCTCAGTAGTTTGAGGCGGTATATGAAGTTTAGTCTCTGATTTCACACAGGAATTTGAAGACTTTTGTAGAAAGTTTTATATCCAAATGAACTGTATAACATCAGCTACAAGGACATATACTCATCTTTGTAAAATTCTAATTCTTAAGCAAGTTACAGTACCAAATGCTATACATACCTATTTTTGTGGTCCACTGCCAGAGACAGTGACACAATTGGTTCGACGTCGAAGACAAGAGAGAAAACGATGAAGAGTTCAACGAATGTGAGGAATTAGAAACTGTGCACCTAAATGTCAATAGAAAGAACATTGACTTATTACTAAGTCTTTATTAAATATAATTATAGAGAAAAGGTTAGCGAAAGATGACTTAAAGGTGGGGGGACAGGAGATTTTTCGTAGTTTTTTTGTAGCTAGAGTATGCATTCTACCGTGACGGTGTACAACGCTTAATGTCACTCTGCGTACAGCTGTCGTCCACGCCTTTTATGTATGCAATCGGGCGTTCGATTTCTCTTTGCCCGCGTGGCTCAGTCGGTAGCGGCGCCGCACCCTCAATCATCGCCCTCACAAGTTCAACTCCTCGAGAGGCATCTTTGAACGGAATTTCGAGAACATTATTTTTTTCATGTCCCCCCACCTTTAAGGTCATCTCAAAGATAAGAGAGAATTAATGTGACATGTTTGAGCAGGTGACTTGAACTTGGCGCCGGAGAAGCGTGTTGTTGGTGGAGTGTACGCACGAGACGCTTCAAACTGGTGACGTTGGCGGGAGTTTGAATGCAGGCCGTTGGGGTGTAAAAGATCTGAAGAAACCTGAAAGAACATTAGAGAGGATTTTCCTCATTTGAGATTAAAGACTCGTGGAATATGTGATATTCCACGACACCTATATGAAAGCTTGCCATGAGCAAACTTAAGAAATCTTTGCAGACACGATTTATTATGAAATTCAAGGAGTGTTGTAATGGTTTTTATACCAAAATAATCCTTAGATATTCAGCTGCAAGAATATATAATCAACTTTAAAATATTTTAACTTTGTAGTTAGTTACAGGGCTAAATATAAACCATGTCGGAAATTACAGCTCATTTGGAAATTAACCCATAACTCTGCACATTTTCAATCTAGAGCTTTGTTCTTAGTACCATTCGAATCAGAATTTCTTATTCTTTATTTTTTTTGTATGACTACTGTATCTGCAGTACTACACAAAAGGCAATTGCTCAGCTGAAATCCTCTGGCGCCTGGCCAAGTACTTCTTGACTATTGCCAATTTCCCACCGACCAAAGAGGAACACCTGAAGGAGGTACAAAAAGGAATTGGTTATGCTCGAGAAGCTTTCGAAGTTGAAATAACGTTCTCGACAGCAAAATGGGCTGCAATTTCGTCCTATAAGTTGATCAAATTGGTTGGATTCAAGGAGAAAATGGAGGAGTTGAATCAGTGCAAAGTGAGTTCAAAAGTCATTTTTCTAGAGCAAAATTATCTCGGTTACTGTAGAAGATATCAAAAAGTGGTAAACTGACAAAATCTTCATCATAGTATCAGTAACATTTTATCAGTTCACTACTTTTCGATATCTTTCAAATGAAGCAAGATAAATTAGTTGCCTGGTGCATCTACCCTCCAACTCCTTCTAAAGGTTCCCTCTACCCACGCAACGACACTCCGCTATCCCGCTCGGCGCGCGCACAATTTAAATTTAGTTTTTGAGGATTGCGAGCTTGGATTTGGCTCGTGGTTGTTCTAGGGACTCTTTTAAGGATTTCAAGTGAGTTTGCTTGAATTCTAAGCTTTTATTTGTTGTTTCTTTTTAACTTGTTCATAATAAACCGATTTTGTTACATTTCTTGTTGATTTTCTTCTATTTTATCACAGGAACCTGATACCCCGGACATACCGCGGGCAATTTGGGGGCCGAACCGTTTATTTTATCCGTTTATCCGTTCTTTCACCTCTTTTTCGTTGTTTTTTGCATCAATTCTCTCCAGAGTTTGAAGGAACCAGTGAGAGGATTGTTGTGAAAATTAATAAAGAGAAATCGCGATTAGGTGAAGGCCTATCGTTTTTTCTCGCAAAATTTAGTGAATTTTGCAAGAATCTCTCCGAGTTTGAAGGAACCTGCAGGAAGTTCTTGTAGAATTTGCGAAGAGGAAATTCGTGCAGGTGAAGGCCTACCGAGTTTTCTCGTTTTGTAGGGTGTCGCAATAATTTCTCCGAGTTTGAAGGAACCGGCAGGAAATTATTGTGAAATTGATCAACGGAAAGTACGATTAGGTGAAGGCCTATCGGAAAGACAGCAAAGAAGAACGCCGAAAAAACATTCTTTTGAAGGAAAGATTTGTTTTCAGGCTTGGAGATGACTACGATCGGGAGCAAGTCAAGAAGCAACAAGGACAAGTCGGTGGATCCCGAGAAAAGTGAAGCGAGGACGACGACGATGGAGAGCTGGGCAGATGCGATGCAGAATCAGGTAACGCTGAGAGAGCGAAAGAAGCTTGTCAAAGGTTACGCTGATTTCATCGGAACCAGTGAGACAGTCGTGGAGAGTGTGCGTGAGCAGTTGGGCGTGCACAGCAAGTGTTCAGAGAGGCAGAAAGACGTGATAGTGAAGCCAATGAAAGAGTTTGTCAGCGAATTGACAAAGCGCTACAACGAGCTGGGCAGTGGAAAGTGGGAGCGCGTTGTGATGCGCATAATGCGAGAAACGGGCTGGAAAAATTGGAAGACTTGCGGGATGCGGTCTTACCGGATAATTTGACAGCGAGCGCGAGAAATACTGAATCAAAAGTGTTTCATAACCAGTTGAAATTGTTGCAGGAAAAATGGACGAGAGAGCAAGCAGAATTCGAGGAAAATCTAGATCGAACAAGCAGAGAAAAGGAGGTGTTGGTCGAGAAGCTTGAAGAAGCGTGGAGAGCCGCCGAGAAGGCAGAAGAGACGATTGAGGAGCTGGGAAGGGCACTGCAGAAGGAAAGGAAAACGTCGGAGAAGTGGAAAAGCCAATGGGAAAGCGCAGAAGGTAAGAAGAAAGAAATACAGTCAAGAAGTAAAGAGATAATTCAGGTGCACTCAAGGAGATCGTCGTCAAGAAGTTCGAATGGTTCGTCGGTGGATTGGCGCGATGAGAGAAAGGAAAGAAAGACCGGTGAGTCTTTTTCTAAGAAGTGTGACCTAAAAAATGATCGAAGTGAAGACTGGCGCGTGAAGGTGAAGAATTGGGAAGTGAAGAGCAGTGTGGGGGATTTTCCGGAAAGAAGTGTGCGAGTCAGCGAAAGAAGAAAGTGTGAGCGCGACAGTGAGAGATGTTCGCGAGTGTCACGGGACAGTTCACGAATAATGGTGGAGTGTCTGAGCAGAATGATAAGGGCGTCAGCTCTGCCAGAGCCTGAGAAGTTCGACGGGAAAGGAGACGTCAAAGAATTCAAGAGATCGTTTCTGTTGAAGTACAAAGCGGTCACGGAGAAAGACGCAGATATGGTGGCAATTTTAGAGGATAAATTTCTGAAAGATGCTGCTAGGACGTTGTTCAAGACACTTCCGAATCGATTCGATCGATCGATCGAGTCGCTTTTCAAAGAGTTTGAAGAGAAGTTGAGAAGGAGGCAAGGAGATCGTGAGGCGGAAGCTCTCAACGAGTTTGAGGAGCTGAAGCGAAAGCCGAAACAGCCGATGTGGGAGTACCTGATGGACGTGGAAAAGTGGTCAAAGCGAGCGTTTCCTCATCTTGAAGAAGAGACAATGTCACAACTGAGAGTCACGAAGCTTATGGGAGCGCTAAGAGATGACCCGACGATGCAAAAGTTGATGACGATGAAGCGATATGAAGTGGCGAAAAAGGACCAGTACGAGTCCCTTAAGGATATCGTTCTTCAGCAAGAGAACGAAGACAAGAGAAGGCAAGGGCTCGGATAATCGGAGCGACACGAAAAGAAGGAGAATAGCTGGAAAAAGGAGAAGAGCAAGGAGGCGAAACGAGGAGACACGGAAACGGAAAAGAATGGATCAGAAGACAGTAGCCATGGGAACAGAAGTGAGAGTAGTGATCAATGGAGAGCGTCAATAAAGTGCT